GCAGGTGTGCAGTGATATGTGCTTGATGAGTTCCACGATGAGCGAGCAATGCTGGCACGTCTAGTGATGGTGATGTCCAGCGATGATGATGCTTAGTGGTGGAGTCTAATGCTGACCACCAATTTTCCAAAAAAAGTGTGCAAACTCAGTACCAAGTAACTTGCTCGTGCCCCACGTTGGGCACCGAAAAATGTAGGATCAAATGCGTTTTTTGTGACTATTAGACTGCCTTTATTTTCAAACTTCATCGCACTAAATATAATTCAAAATTATAAACAAGTACCGATATTCTAATACATAAGTTATGTATGTCAAAACTTCATAAAAGGTGGATGTCCCTAGTATATGCTTAACGCTATTTGTACAAAGTATACATGTTGATATGCAGTATAGAAAATATTAGAAAAAATGGGAGGGCAGCATTCCTGTAGGCATTCTTATATGCTAAGCTTAATACATTCATTTGTTAGGTGAGATTGGCAACAACACAACCATACGTATCATTGCGTGAGTAAAACATAGCGGGAGCATATATGTAAATATGTATACAAATGCAAGTGAACAATTATAGCGGGAGACTATATGTAAGCAAAGGCAATATGTAACAAGTAAGAAAGTCTAAGTTCGGGCGGAGCCGAACATTAAATACCCGGCGCAAGTATTAAATATATGTTTTTTCACCTTTCCGAAACCTACCGCTAGATGGTAAGCCGGGGTGTATCAATTTTGAGTAAATTAGCGTCCTTCAATTTCGAAATATTGCAGTTTCAATCATTTCTGAAATTTACCGTTATATGAAAAGCGGCCGTAATTTTAGTCCGATTTCAGTAATTTTCAACGTTTTGCTTATATGTGGCAAGCACAATAACCACACCGAGTTTGGTACAAATTGGTAGAACGGTTACCGATTTACATATATGTGATCATAAGTGGGCGGTGCCACGCCCATTTTCCAAAATTTTACCATAAACGTATTTCTTGGTAAAGAATTGTTGCAATCATCAATTTTGAATAAATTAGCTTCAATATTTACTGATTTATCGAAGATTTTGTATTTCTCTAAATTACCGTTATATGGGATGTGGGCGTGGTTATCGTCCGATTTTAAAAATTTTCGGCGATTTTGTATGCTGTACCAAGGCCAACAACTGTGCCAAGTTTGGAAGAAATTGGTGCAGCGGTTGCCAAGATATACACATGTAACCATAAGTGGGCGTGGCTAATTTATAATATTCTTATTTTTCGTCTAAAAAATATTGTAAATATCAATTTCGAGTGAATTATCTTTAGTAGTTACTAAAATATCGCAGGTTTCGCATTTCTGGAAATTACCGTTATATGGGAAGTGGGCGTGGTTACAGTCCGATTTCGCCCATTTTCAATACCAATCTACCTTGGATTAAGGGAAACCTACATATCAAATTTCGTTGAGATATCTTAATTTTTGCTCGAGTTATCGTGTACACGGACGGACGGACAGACAGACATGGCTTAATCGATTTCTTGTTTCATCCTGATCATTTATGTATACATTTGTCTATATCTATCTCGATTCGTTTTGGCTGTTACAAACTACCGTTATGTGAACAAAATTAATATACCCTTGTGCACAAGTGCGCTCGGGTATAAAAAGGCAAACGTAAAATGCAAACGCAGATATTATTGGGGTGAATGACTTGAATTATTCTGACCTTGAATATTTTCGGCATATAATTAAATAAATGTTAAAGTATATAAAAAACATATGTTTGAAAAATGAAGCGGTTACCAATCGGTGACCCAACAACATATGCAAGTAAACTATAAAACCGCAGAGCGAATGTCATGCAATAGTCACTTAAGTGTCGTATACGGCCATGTTAATTCTTCAATGACTTTGGACTCCGTTTATATGGAAGCCGTTATGT